TTATGGCAGGTAAGCATAATTCTCCCTCAAATTTTTATTACAGTAACTTGTCTGGTTGGTAATGTACATTTTTTGCAATTATCATAATTCTAAATTCTCAATATTCTCATTGCTGTAACGCAGTTAGATTACATAAGACACTAGGGGTGTAACGATACATGTATTTGTCCCGAACCGTCATGGTATGGGCGTCCCGCTTCATGCAGTCAGACGACGAATATAGTCAGTCATAAGCAATCAATCCAGAAGGGGCTGTGCACGGTAATACAACACTAACCGTCACAACAGGAAAGAGCAGAAGAAGAGATTATCTGTAAAGAGAAGAACATACTGTTCCAGGCAGATCAAGCTCACTGTTCTTGTTGCTTGAAATAGGAAGACAAATATGTGGGGTTTATATAAATGTATCTCTGAGGGAAACTGACCGTCTTCAGAAATGTTTCGATGGCATTTTCTTTTCCTCTTACCTCCATATAATGCATATTAAAGTAGTGTTTGTAAGCGCAGCTGCTTTGTTTACAGAGGTAACCAAGGAAGCTCTATATCGCTGCTGTTCCATAAGCGCCACCTGATGTCAGAAAATAAATCTGCTTTTTCATTCAGTCCGTCTGCTGTTTTTGTTTTGTGCAGGTGTCTTATGTAGCATAATTTCACAAATCTAAAGTCAGGCAATTCAGTTTTTCAAAAACAACTGCTCATGCTGCATGCATGTAGCACTACTGTCTGTTCAAAATTAATGAAAAAAAAAAATTCCTGTTGTACTAAACGTGAATCGAACCGTGACCCCACATTTTTATATAACTGTAATGAGAATTGCAAAGACATTTGTTTAATTGTCATAAAATAATGTATTTAGTAATATAATAATCTATAATATTTCACAGTGTGGAATTATTTTTATTATTTAATAAATTGCTTCATTATTTTATTTAACAAAAATAACAACAACAATAATAATAATTATATATATATATATATATATATATAGTTTATATTTGACAACAAAATGGTGGCACATTGACTGAACCAGATAACAGGCTGTAATCAAGCAAAATCCGCATGAAGAAGAGTATATCTGTTATCTAAATTTCCAGGCACAGGCAAAAAAAACAAACAAAAAAAAAAAATTCTGGACACGCACACAGTTTTATAGAGTTTGTTTCTGTCTATGTTTGTGCTGATATGGGTCTCGGAGGGCTCATAATCGTGTCATTTGCGAGACCTTTCTGTTTGACTCAAGCAGACAACAGCCCGAGGTCTCAGAGCATTAGAGACAGATCGCCTAAATCCCCTTTCGGAAACACACATAAGCACACGGCCGTACGCACCTTGTCATGTAGTCATCAATTTTAACCAAAGTGCTTGAGGCTGTTTTGAAAAAGGGGCAGTGCTGAGCACACATCCCATCTATGGTAATGTCTCTCTAACCTAATCAGATTCATGGACATCCAAACAGCTTATTCATCCCACTCTCAGGTGTCTCCTATGGGGCAGGACTCTCTGTAAACACTTGCCAAGATTAGGCAACTTAATCTACTTTCTCACTAAATTAACAAAAAGCAAAATCAATCCCACAGCAGCAAAAGTACACTTCAACAAGGGATTCAATTAATCATTGGACCAAGCCAATCGAAGGAAGTGTCTGCCGTTCAGCTCTGTTTGTGCTTTAAGCTAACAGATATTGAAAGAGATTGCACTGAAATGAAATAAACATACTCACATAATCAAAAACGAACAATTACCAAGCTCCAAATGCAAGAAAAATCAGCTTTGGTGAGTGAACTTGCAAAATCTCAGTATAATAACAACTCTTACTGATATGAAAGAATCAAATCAAAAAGATTCAAATGGTCTATCCAAAAAAAAGCTCTTTTCTTTTCTGCTACAACAGATATTTTTTAATTAATCCACCACAATATAATGTTAAAAAAAATGTAAGGAACACAATATTACAGGCTCAACAGTTTTGTTTAGTTGCATTAACAGAGAGACTGTCCTGTAGTGATGGGTCGTTCTTGAACGATTCGTTCATTTTGAAAGAATCAATCATATGACTCGGGAAGAACGAGTCGTCTCGGGGAGTGATTCATTCAGTCGCGCATGCGCAACATCCTATAGGTTCTGTACTGGAATTAGTCAAGTAGTTCACCTGTTTCGAGTCTTCGGGTTTTTCGAGTCGTTCGTTCATCAAGTGAGATCAACAGATTTAAAAAAAAAATGCAAAATACAGTTGGCTAGTAAAAAAATGTACGGTCGGCCAATTACCTAAACTCACTTGCAACTTGCCTTTAACATGTCTTTGTCTGTGACTAAGTCTTGTGAAAAGGACACTGTTAAATATGACAGAAATTTGAAAATAAAAATATTTTTTATCAAATTGATCAGATTATTCTTATAATTCAGAAGTCTACACTACCATTCAAAAGTTTTAGGTTGGTAAGGTTTTTTTTTAACATATATTTTTAAGAAACATTTCTTATTATCATCAATCTTGAAAACTTTATATTTTTGTGGAAACTGTGATACATTTTTTCAGTATTATATGATCAATAGAATAATTAGAATTAAAATGAGATAGAATTAAATCAATAGAATTAGATTCATATAGACAGCATTGATTTGTATTCTTTTGTAACAATGAACGTCTTTACTGTCACTTATTATCAAATTAACGTGTCTTTGCTGAATAAAAGTATTTTAAAAAAATGTACTGACCCCAAGCTTTTGAACAGTATAAATATCATGGCACTCTATTATAGTCCCACAGTACTGAATGATACCACATTCATATGTCCAAAACACCATGGTACAGTTTTGTTAGTTTGGTTGTTCTGAAAGACTGATATTATAGGCTTATTGTTTTGTAAGTGTAGCATGGTAGAAATGAGACTGAACTCACAGGCCCAGTGCAGGTAAGACCGTCGTCATCCGCCACCTCACACTGCGCATCGCACTCCAGGCACACTGAACCGTTTGCAAACTCACGTACATCCCTATAAAACAGAAAGAAAGGGAAAAAAGACAAACATGAGGTAACATAACACACTACAATGACATATAATGACCACTTCAGAACACTCAAGGTTCAGATGGGAAAAAACAGCATGTAATTTTTCAAAGTTCTTCCAGGAATTCCTACCCAAGGATCTATACTATTCAATTAAAGTGACGTGACGTGTAGTCAAGTATGGTGTCCCATACTCGGAATTTGTGCTCTGCGTTTTACCCATCCAAGTGCACACACACAGCAGTGAGTAGTGAACAAACACGCAGACACACACACACACACACACACTGTGAACACACACCCGGATCAGTTGGCAGCAATGTGCTGTGGCGCCCAGAGAGCAGTTGGGGGTTCGGTACCTTGCTCAAGGGTCTCACCTCAGTCGTGGTATTGAGGGTTGAAGAGAGTGGTCATTCACTCCCCCCACCTACATTCCCTGCCGGACCTGAGACTCAAACCTGCGACCTTTGGGTTACAAGTTCGACTCTCTAACCATTAGGCCACGACTGCCCCAAAACCTTGTTTCTGCCCGGTCTAGCCTTTTAAAGACAAGACAACTTTCCATTTTCAGACCAGATATTGTAGCTCATTAAATACACTTCAGATTTCAGGACCTGAATGAGGAAAGTCTGAATCACAGGCAGTAAAAGAAGAGCCATCAAACACAAGACGGGTAGATTGTGAAAGTGCAGCCGAAGGGAATTCAGCGCCTGAGGCACTGCAAGGCCGTAGGGAGGCAACAGTGGAATCTAACACATCCGCAGGGTGCTTACAGCACTCCTCAAATGGCTGCCACAGCTGGCAAACACAGTTACTATTGACCAAAAGCAAACAGTCAGCCTTCACCACCGATCGAGGTGACAATTCATCAAGCACATTCAGGGACACCTCAAAGCACCACAGTGAGGAAATCAGCCAGGGACCTCTGAAACAAATGATCACAAAATGGTTCAATACGGGTAAACACAGTCACTTCCCAGTCCCATCACTCCTCTAAAGATGGTAGTGACATTTTAGAAGCTGACATCCATTGGTGTGACAAGCGGAGGATGGTGGCTCAGCGAGAGAGAAAAATATGTATAGCAAAGGCAAGTTTTTTTTTTTATTACTATTGATGTGTTACCTCATTGAATGCTAAATTAAATGACAATTAATTATTCTTTATCTAAAAGGCACAGCACATTTTGAATAGACCGTGAGGAAAGCTTTTTGAAGACCCTCTTATTATTAAATGACTTTTCTTTTTCCCTTACATAAACATTAACTTCACAGGCTCTGTAATGTTTGCATGTTCGGTGTCCACAACATGTTTCCTGGTTAAGAAGTGTGACTCACGAGAAAAATACAAAAGATACACTACTGTTCAAAAGTTTGGGGTCAGAATGTTTTTTTTTTATATGTATGTTTTAAATCTCTTATGCTCACCAAGACTGCATTGAAAAAAAAGAAAGAGTAAAAATAGTAATATTGTGAAATATTATTACAATTTAAAATAACTGTTTTCACTTTATTTATTTTAAAATGTAGTTAATTCCTTTGATGGCAAAGCTGAATTTTAGCAGCCATTACCCCAGTCTTTAGTGTATGAATAGAAAGTTGATAATAATAGCATTTATTTGAAATATAAATTTTTGACACATTGTAAATGTCTTTACTATCACATTTTTTTTTTGATAAACTGAATGCATCCTTTCTGAATAAAAGTTTACATTTCAGTATAAAAGTATAAAAATTGACTGACTCCTAACTCTAGAACTATAATGTTCACCCTAATATTGTCTGACACAGAAAACTGCGCTCTAGCAATTTCAAAGGGCCATTTTCATTTCAAACGTGATGCATTCATGATTGGATCACAAAGCCATTTTGTGAAAGCTCTATTTACCTGTATTAAGCACTAGTAACAAATTGGTTGTTTATTCCCAAATACAGAGTGAATCATCTTGAGTGAACAGCGAGTGTGACCGCAGAGGTCGACAACCAGTGGAGAAACAGAGAAAACACAGACTCTAAGATCACCCTGCAAAAACAGATATACACACACACACACACACACACACACACACACACACAACAGCAGCACAGATATTGAGGCACTGGGTGAAGCGTGTGGGACGGGTGAGTAGGCAGACGTGACAGTGCGAGACAGTGATGCGTCTGTGGCCGTGCTGTACCTCTCCAAACCCGCCTCCCGCTTCTCGACCACATAGGGCCTGGTGAGCAGCTTGGGCCTAGAGCTGGCCAGTCTGCAAGGCAAAAGAATCATGTGGGACCATCGCAGGGTGTACGATCCCTGGTTCTGATTCACTATCAACCAACATGGATATGGCATACATATAAAATACAGGCTCCCATCCATGTTTGGCCTAGTTAAAACACACAGAGGACAAGCTTCTGATTTAAACGGGTAGATGCTGTTGTATTAGAATGTGAAAATGGATGCCGCTTGTTTGTTGTCTTGTTTTAGCTCTGGGCAAAGGAGAAAATGAATTTCGCTGCTTCGCTCAGTCAAATCAATCAAAAGCTGATATTGGTCTTTCCCTTTGAGCGGTGCGTAAGCACACAACAAATAAAGAGGGAACTCAAAACCAATCTGTAAATTACCTTCTTCACTGCACTGATCAACACCTTTAGTGTTTACTTATTCCAATTCTGTAAACCAACAGAAAGAGCTTATCAATGCCAAACCATTTTTTGTGGAATTAGACAAACAATCGCTACCAAAATGAATTTTCATGCTGGTTTGGTACTGGTTGATTTTCTGGTAAAGATGGAAGCCTTGCTGGTTGAGCTAGTTAAGTAGCCTGCCAGGAACATCAGCACACCAGCATCCAAAACACAACTTTTTGAACAAAACATCAATTTTTGAATCTACAGCACCTCGGAAAACAAAATAATTAGTTTCATCCTGGGTTGTTTAGGAATTTATGATGAGATAAAGACACCGGGTACCGTAAAATATCACAAAGACAATACATGAATAAATAAACTGTCAATATATTACTGGCTGCTCACGAAACAAGAAAGGACAACAAGAAAATACACAGACTTCCAAAAAATGTTTTCTAGAGTGTTTTGGCACATTTACAATTTCCTGTGCCCTACATAATCCACACACTCTACTTTCAAGAGTGTTTAGTCAAACACTTTATATCTACAGTATTTGTGCTTTTTTTTAAATGCCTCTAAAGGGATAGCTCACCATTTAAAGTTAAAATTAATCAGTCATTTATTCACCCTAATGTCATTCCAAATCTGTATGACTTTCTTTTCTTCAAAAAAAGAAGATATTTTTGAAGAATGTTTCAACTGCTTTTGTCCATTCAATGAAAGTCAGTGGGGTTCAAAACAACACTGGACCCCATTGTCTTTCATTGCATGGACAAAAAAACAATGAGACATTTTTCAAATAGAAAGTCATACAGGTTTGGAATGACATGAAGGTGAGTAAATGATTACAGAAATAACATTTTTGGGTGAACTATACTTTTAAAGTTTAGAAGACATTATTTTATATTTGTCACAGCACCAGTCTATGAAACATAAGGTATGAAAATCCATCATAAAAATAGTATTAAATTGTTTAAACAATTATTAAGATTATAAAAGCATAAATTAATGTCATGAAGATTTATGTTATAAAACCACTTATTGTGTGGAAATTATTTTTTCCCCCCAAATAAATGATGACATTATGATACATGTGTCTACTGTTGGACACTGCTAGTAGACACATTGAATAAATTAGTGAAAGTTTTAAGAGTCCACAGGGTCAAAAGTGCCCACAGTTAAAGAAACACTTGTACGTGTGCTTGTCTGTTTATCTGGCCTAAATCTTTGTACCTTTGTGACAACAAAACCAAGGCTTTACTCAGTTCTTCATTCTGTCACAGTGCTCCACACACCACTGTATTTGGTGTAGACGTCATATAAGGTAGAAGATGTACCCAGCTCATCTAGCTCACCCAAACACTGTTATTTGTTTTCCAGCTCAACCGAGCTTACGTTTCATCATTGCAACCTGCTCTCCAAAGCCAGGGGATGTGCTGCTCTGCTGTTTTGTTACTGTTTGTCTAGAGGATGGAGACATGAATCTTGGTGAAATCCCTGGAGAAAAGAGCTAGCTATAGTTCAATCTTAGGAATACACGTTTTCTACAAGCAAACATTAATAAACAATGTCGTGAAGCATATGCAAATAATCCTACAACATAGCTTGGGCGCACCTGTGATACTTGAGATTTGTAGATTTATGAAGTGAAACTCCTGCACAAATAAAGTGTTGTGGAGTTATATTTGTTATATCTGTGGGAATGTGATGTTTAACAACTTACCCTTCGTGCAGGTTGCAGGATTCGACACAGGTACGTCCCCTGCTAAAGAACCGACAGGACAAGCACTGGTCAGGCCCCGGACCCCAACAGCCAGCATCAGAGCACAGCGGATCACATATCATACGATCCAAAACTGCAAAAAATATTCTGATTATTAATACAAGAGCGTTAATGTCAGTAAATAACTAACTCCTCCTACATTTACATACATTGCTAATTTTACATTTATATAATTTATAATTTCAAATTAATGCCATTTGTTTGAACTTTCTACTCACAAATTCTTGTAAAAAATGTATCAGTTTCCACACAAATACTAATTAAGAATATTACAATGATTTCTAAAGGATTCCTTAAGACAAGACTACTAGCTGCAGAAAATTCATAGATAAATTGCATTTTAAAATATATTAAAATAAAAATGAAAAACAAGTTATTTTTAATTTTTAACCATATTTTGATCAAATAAATGCAGCATTGGTGAACAAAGAGAGCCTTTAAAAATAATTTTAAAACATTAAAAACATTTTAAAAATCCTACCAACCCCAAACGTTTCAGTGTGTACAAAATTGAATGTAATTTTAATATAATCATTTTTATACATTTGTATTTATTTTTATATTTATGGCAATAGATGACACACAGTACTAATATAATTTTAGAATAAAATTTAGAATTTATGTTTGGTTAAATTACGCAAATTATGCAAGAAATTGTTTTTTTTTTCTCTTCTTCTTTATTGATTCTAAACCAACTGTTTCAAGGTGTCACAATGAAAAACTAATTTCTGTCCGTAGCTGCATTTCGATCTATTGCAAATTTGTCTCAGAATGGTGCCGTCAGTCCACCCCTGGGAAACATCCAGTTGATAGAGGGAAAAGATTCTTTGTAAAACCGCGATTGAACACAATGCACACGCCATCTGTTACTTGTCCGGTCATGGATGTATTATACTTGTATATGAACCGCTGTATTTCAATTTGAAATGAGGACAGAATAGTCCGGGCGCCCACCCACTGAGGCACTGGATTTTGCAGCAGCTGGGAGAGTGTTTTAAAAAAATACTGCTGACACAACTTCAGCATGTCTCACAGACGTCCTCCTCAACAGACAAACTTCTGAAACTAATAATGAGAATTTCATCATCAAAGAGTATAGAGAGGGTCAAATGTAAGCAAACTTGTGAGCATGTGAACAAAAAGTTTAATAATGAGAATTTCATCATCAAAGAGTATAGAGAGGGTCAAATGTAAGCAAACTTGTGAGCATGTGAACATAAAGTCAGATGTTCTTGCTTCCATTGAAGCTCAGGATGCTCTTTGGAACAACTCAAATCGTGCTGGATTTTACAGCAAGAACTCATGGAGTTTAAGTTGTTTATGTGCTGCTGACATTAAAGAAAAATGGTAACAAATCAAATACTAGAAATTTCAACATCCACTATATTCATTAAACTTTTACTGCTAATATAATATGTAGGATAATTAATATAAAATAATAAAAATGATGGGATTTTTAAATATAATGAAATAACTTTAATACAACACTTTTTTTTTTTTTTTACACAAATATAAGTCATAGTTATTTAAATTATATATATTTTAAATGTTTTAAAATAGCTTTATTTACTTTTTTAATAATTAATCAAATTGACCATAATTTTAAAACATCCAAAACAACAAAGACGACTAAACTGTAGACAAATCAAATACTAAACATCTCGACATTCACATACATTTTTAAATTAAACTTTTCACTCAAACCGTTATGCTGCTAATATAATATATAAGAAAAAATTGCTTTCAATTAAAAAAATAAAAACATCCATAATGTAGCATTTTATTTTGAGGACTAATTCTCTAAGGAGAGTTTTATTTTACTGTAAGCACTGCTGAATGAATGAATGAGCAATAACATGTAAAAGCACTCCAGAGAGCACTATACAAAAATCTCAGCATTTCTCAGGGAACAACATGTTCTAGTTCAAGGACCAACTAGGTGCTCAGAGCAGGTATCCAACAGCATGAGGAGCGACACAGAGAAGTGGGAAGCCCTTTCAGCTGTACGTTTGTGGCAGATGGATCAAAAAGATGCCAACTTCAAAGTTTTAACCTGGTTGAAAACACACAAATTGGGTTGTGTTGACGTCAAAAGCAGTGCTGGGTTGGTTTCCAGGGAGATAGGTTAGAGCCAGGGGGATCGCTAAGCCCTACAAAAGGCTACGGTTGCCGTGAGACATTAATGATTGCTGTCACATCACAACATCCTGTGCAATGAAAAAGAAGGGGAAAAACAGTTTTTTAGATAGTCATAAACATCACTCAGCAGCGAGAAAAGAGAGAGTTTTTAAAGACAGAGGTGAAAGTAAATTCCCTGTGGTGATTACAGCTTATCCTAGAAAAAAATCACCTGAAATGCCAGAAATTGTTGCAGGGTCACCCTGCAATTAATTCCCTGTGATCCTTTATGAAGCGACTTAACGTTTGCAGAGAATGGGTAATTAGACCTGAAGCATTTGGTCTTTTTTCAGGCTTATGGTAACATCGTTCCACATTTCTTCAAGTCTTTAACAAAAAAAAAAACCTCAAAGAACTCTGTGTTCTGGATCTCGGGGTGATTTTGAAGGGTAAAAAGGGAGTACGTAGTAGGGGGCTTGGATCAGTACTTGTCTTTCACAGCAAAGTGAGACTCTGATCATCTGACACCTCTTGACCCCCTCCATCTGCGGAGGAACCCTGGGCCCTCATGACCCCCGCTAGGCTCAGTGAGGTGCATTGACCCAGGCAAAACAACAGGTATGAGGGAGCTGCACCAGCACCTTACAAAGTGACCGAGTTTACTGCCTCAAAGTCAGCGAGCTCTGCATGAGATGTCGTGAACTCTCACTGTGGTTCGGGTGAACCAGGACAAACAGCAGCTGGGAGGCTGAAAATGATTCTAGCCTCAAGCCATCTTCTCACAGATGTTGTGAATAACTGCTTTTTTAAATTATATTTTTATGTAAGACACCCCACTTAGTAGGTATTTCTTGACCAGACCTCAAGTCAAACATCTTGCTATGCTGGGCTTTGACTAATTTATTTAAAAGCCAAATGGAACTACAATAAAACAGAGTGATGGACTCACTGCATTCCTTGGGGTCACGGTTGTTGCGGATCAGGGCCTTCTGGGTGCTGGTGCGGAAGAGTCGCGTCCAGTTGACGGTGTTGTAGTAGCAGAGTTGACTGTTGTTGGTGACGTACACGTTTCCAGCACTGATCTCACCCAGAGACTGCAGCTTCAGTGAGGAAATCCACTGCTGCTTTAGCACCAGAAGAGAGATGCCACTGAACACAAGAGAAAAAAGGAGAGGTTACTGTTTACATTTTAAAGAGGGGTTCATTTAATTATGAAATGTCATAATTTAATTAAATGCACAATATTTAATAAATTTAATCACATATATAAATGTTATGATAAGTCCACAATTCTTTATTTTATTACGAATACTATAAAATTGCAACCAGAATTATTAAACCCCCCATTGACTGTAATAATTTGAAAATGTAAGCATTTCTGTAGATTCAGATTTTAAAAAAAATGCATTAGTGGAATTTTGATAATGTCAATATATAATGTAACAATTTTTGTTATAGGATTTTTCTGTAATAGAGCTATGTCATAATTATTCAACCCTTATTCAACCCCCTGTTTTAAAAGTAAATTTATTTCTATGGGAGGGTACAAAATTGTGTTAAAACACAATTAAGCCTTTAGAAACTGTATAACAAAACTAAATTTGCTAGAGCTGTTACATATACAGTACAAGTTTAGCCCATGCATGTGCTAAAGTTGAGTAGAAAATATGGCCAACCAAAAGAACTCTCACAAAAGCTATAGAGAACAAATTGTTTTATTACATTAGAAAGTCGATGGTTACAAGAAGATTTTCGGCTACAAGGTGATTTTCAAGATACTAAAAGTTCCTAGAGACACAGCTGGCAGCCTTATTAATAAGTTTAAAATATGCTGTACCAGAAAGTTGACTGTTGTTGGTGACGTACACGTTTCCAGCACTGATCTCACCCAGAGACTGCAGCTTCAGTGAGGAAATCCACTGCTGCTTTAGCACCAGAAGAGAGATGCCACTGAACACAAGAGAAAAAAGGAGAGGTTACTGTTTACATTTTAAAGAGGGGTTCATTTAATTATGAAATGTCATAATTTAATTAAATGCACAATATTTAATAAATTTAATCACATATATAAATGTTATGATAAGTCCACAATTCTTTATTTTATTACGAATACTATAAAATTGCAACCAGAATTATTAAACCCCCCATTGACTGTAATAATTTGAAAATGTAAGCATTTCTGTAGATTCAGATTTTAAAAAAAATGCATTAGTGGAATTTTGATAATGTCAATATATAATGTAACAATTTTTGTTATAGGATTTTTCTGTAATAGAGCTATGTCATAATTATTCAACCCTTATTCAACCCCCTGTTTTAAAAGTAAATTTATTTCTATGGGAGGGTACAAAATTGTGTTAAAACACAATTAAGCCTTTAGAAACTGTATAACAAAACTAAATTTGCTAGAGCTGTTACATATACAGTACAAGTTTAGCCCATGCATGTGCTAAAGTTGAGTAGAAAATATGGCCAACCAAAAGAACTCTCACAAAAGCTATAGAGAACAAATTGTTTTATTACATTAGAAAGTCGATGGTTACAAGAAGATTTTCGGCTACAAGGTGATTTTCAAGATACTAAAAGTTCCTAGAGACACAGCTGGCAGCCTTATTAATAAGTTTAAAATATGCTGTACCAGAAAACCTTTGAGGGCGTTGAAAAAAAAATATATATAATAAAATGTTTGATCAGAGCAACTGAGAAAAACCCTCGATTTACTGCCAGTGACTTGCAAGATGACCTGATAGAAGAAAACTAGACAAGCATGGCCTTCATGTCGGACACTGAACGCAACTCGTGACCAAGAAGATCACAACTTAAACACGACACAATTCGGATAGGCCTGTGGAGTTCTGGAATTATGTTTTATTGAGTGACGTGACCAAACTGGAACTTTTTGAACCCATGGATCAAGGGTATGTCTCAAGCTGGACTAGTCTTATTATGGGGTTACTTTGCTGTTACAGAAAGTGGAAATCTTGACTGTATGAAGGACATCATAGATTCGTTGAAGTATCAGGCCATTCTGTCAAAGATTGTGATGCCTTCAGTGCATAGACTGAAGCTTGATGATCATTAGAGTTTCCAGCAGGACAGCCATCCCAAAGTATACATCCAAATCTACTTAAGATTGTTTCAGGGATCAGTCGTAGAACGTCTGTGAGTGGCCTGTTCAGTCTTCAGATTTAAATTTCATTGAAAATATTTGGTGGAATTTGAAGAAAGCAGTGACAACATGAAAACCAAAGATTATCAGTAATCTGGAAGTTTTTCAACTGAGGAATGGGACAAGATTCTAGTAGAAGGGTCTCAGAAGCTTGTAAGCATTTAGAGTCAAAGTTTATTAGAGGTTAGGCCTATAAAGAAAAGAAAAAAAGATTCTCTACAAAATTTAACTCTTGAGGATTGTGCATGAATGTTTAGAGCTATAATTTTCAACATTCAAAACAACAAAGAAATCCAAACATTGTTTAGCCTGAAGATTTTGAGACAACAGACAAAAAAAAGCACAAAGATCAGAATGAATAAGAATGAAACAAAATAATGAGATCTGACACAAAGAAAGCTACAATGATGGCTTCATGAACAAAAGACATGAGCGAATTGTCGGTATGAGAGATGCTGTTGCATTTCTAAAGCAAGTGTTTAGCTTGCGTCCCCCATCTAGCGTCGCTGAGGATCTCCCACTTCAGATGGGATGAGTTCGGTTAATGCCAAGGTGTAATCACAACTGTGTTTTTAATCACAAGCAGGCATGCTGAAGAGCACATCAAAGGGGCTTTGAGACGGCCTTCAGCGGAGAGTCAGAGAGTGGCAGCAGAACGTGCAGGTGCACTTAGACACTGACGTCGCTCTCATCTCGTTGATCTGCCTCTTAGAGACTTCTCTTCTGTTTTTCCTCTTTCTCTCTACCTTCCTCTCTCTGTGTTTCAGGCAGAAAGCCAGTGCCAGACACATCAGACACAGAGCACATCATGTGGCAGACGGTAATTGGTACAGTAGAGCTTTCAATAAAGGACCCCACAAACGTTAAAACAGCCTGGCGGATCTGTGCTCCCGCTCTCTTCTGTCTCTCCTGACTCTTTAACTCTAAGCAAATGGGTGTTGCACTGTGTGAATACAGCTTTTCATTCATACTCTTTGAACTCTTGGCAAGAAAGCCTTGGCCTCTTTAGAAAACACAAAAGAGGGGATTCACTAAGAATTAATTATGCTGTTTATTTGCACATGCTGTCTGCACTGTTTTAACCCAATTCACTAAAAGAATGAAGCAAATGAGGAAATACTAGATATACTAATATTAGAATAGAAATTGAACAAAATTTGTCACAAATTTAGTGCTGAACCCAAACCAGCCAACTTATGAAAAACTGTTGATAACACATAAGTTATATCTTTGCATGTTCCCTGGTTCACAATTATTGTAAAATGCATTTCTCTTTTGCAGCACATTTCCAAATAAATAGCCTTTAAGACCCGTTCAAACTAAGGACAATAATTATAATGATAAATTAAACTATAATGTTTATAATGTCTAATAATTGACAGAGAGGAACAATATCGTTGGAATCATTTTCAGGACATTTTTATTTTTTATCTGATGAACAATAAAAAACATTAACCAATCAAAATCCACCTGATGTTAAAGAGATTGAGCATTTAAAGTGGCAGATGACAAAACTTCAGTGCGCACTTATAATAAACAACTTTATCGTCCGCTGTGGTTGCTAATATTTATCATAATTGTTATATTTATTGTTCTTGGTGTGTACTGGCCTTTAAACAGCAGCAGACCTTGGTCGGACTGATATAATACAATATGAATATATGTGCTGAAATATGGAGTTGTAAATATCATAATTAGATTTGCAAGAACATGAATGACCAGGTGCATTCACAAGTAAGAAACTCAGAATTCTAGATGATACACGAGTTGCAGAATTGTGACTTTGGAAGGAGAGTGTCAATGTGACCCATTGCGGAAAAACTGATCTATAATATACAGATAATAATCTACACAGAAAACAGTGAGTGTAAAACAATCTGTAATGAGGTATAATGGATGATTTTGCAAGTTATTTTAATTTTACTTATTTCAATATTTAAATTTTATGCATTTCAATTATTTTAAAGGTTTGATTACAGAACCACAGAAAGACAACAAGTGTAAAGTGAACCACTCACATTTCATAGTTTACAAACAGTTACTTCTCATGTATAAATAAGTGATGGAAATTAATAATTTTCACAATAAAACTATTATGTCTTCGACTTTTATTCATTACATTGTAATAATGAATGCCTGACTCTAAGTTTACCAGGTGCACCTGAAGGCAGTAATAGACCTGTGGAAGTATGAGAAGGAGGGGATTAGTTCTGGAGCTGGCAACAAAGAGTGAGCCCTGGATCTTACCTGTAGAGAGACCTGCCTCCAATGGTTGCCAGATTGGAGAAGACACTCAGGTCAGTCATGTTTTCTGGCCAGGACTGAACGTTTAGAAAACCTGGAAAACACAAGATGACATGCTCAGTGAGTCAAATCATCAGCCAACATAGTAGACACAAGTGATTCCACCTATTGTAATTATTAAGAGAAATGTATTACTTTCATTGCAGCATGATAAATAAAATTGAATTCCCTTTTTAAAGGCGTATTAAAGTCAATAATGTGTCTGGATGAGTAGTGCTGACTGTACATGGTGACAATTAATGTGTTATTTGAGAAATATGACCACTATACAATGTCTGACTATATTTTATTCTCTCATCCTGCATCTATCTCCGTTTATTTAATGGAGATTGAAGAGCTGATAGCTATAGATCATGGAGACATTTTAATAATGGATTCAAAAAATGAATTATTTATTAAAGGGAAGACAAACCCATGCATACACCAAGAAAAGACAAACAGGCCCTGAGAAAGAGAAAAAGAGGACTTTCTTTTTCAAGGACAAGGAGAACATAAATTACTCCAATTATTTTAACAATGCAAAGCCTGAATGGTGTATATTTTCAGTAATAACTGATATTTGATATCCTTCAAATTAAATCATTACTTTCAGAGGATCGTGTTTGAGCAAAAGTGGTATCGTGTTAAGAGACTAATATAAATATTATTCCTGTTCAGATTTTATGGTCATATCTCTAGGCTTTCAGTTATCATTCCTGGCCTGCTTTGTGGTGCTTCATTAAAATTAAGTTTGGATTCCACATTCATTAGCATGTCTACCGGAAAAGACTACAGTAAATATAAATGCAGCCATTTGATTAAGAAATTTGCCTCCAGTGATGGCTTTCTGGAGGAGAGAGACATGGCATCAATAAATCATAACTCATCTAAATTCAAGTAGGGATAATATTCTTACATTAATTGAGCTCTTTTCACATTGTTTATAGCCAGACTGTTTATTATTAATACAAAACCTACAAAAAAGTGACTAAAATGTCATTATGTTCACTCTTAGAAACTGATCTTTTCGGATTCAAGGGCTAAAATAGGGTTAAACGCTTGAGATTTTGCCTTTTGCGCTGCCTGTTTAAATTAAGCTAAGGTTGTGGAAGCAGATTAGAGGAAGTGTCTCAGTGAGGTGTCGTTAGCATGGTGTCTGCTGACACTAATTGCCTTAACGACAAAACTGTGCGATAGGAAGTCTGAAGGAGTGTGTGTGCAGTGCTTTGAGAGTGGGCCGCTTGCCTGTCTGTGTTGTAATCGGTTTATTTTACGTGTGGAGGCAAGACTTCATCATGCTAATAGTGCTAACGAGGTCCCAGCGAACACCTGTCGGCTCCAGACTAACATCAGGGGAGTAATTCTGCTCCACAAATGAATTGCAGGCAAGAAACACAAAGGGAACTGCTGAAAATGAGTTTGAGTAACACAAAATACAGCTGCTGACACCAGAGAGTTTATAGACGCACACCAGTATGATCCTAAAGCAAGGCAAAATGCTTTTGATAACGTTACTCCAGGAGTGTGGCCATCATTTCAGAGATGAGGGGGACAGTATGTAATAATACCTTTTTTTTTTATTGACTTGAATTTTTTTAAGTTGTATTTTTCTCATATTTCTTACTTTTAATAGGCTAAGAAATCAAATACACTGCTGGACAATGACCAATCATTTGTATTTATTTTTCTTATATTTTCCTAAAGACAATTTTATGATTTGTTTATTTACTACAAACACTTTTTTCCATTTTAATCACACAATAAGGCAGAATAGTTTCTATACTATAATAAATGCTATTTCAATAAGCACTGTATTATTCATATACATATATTTATTACCTGGAGATGACTTGAAAAACACACATAAACCATATATTGTCGCAATCGTGTGTTTAATGTCTTCACGTTTCATCAGTCAAAACGTTTCTGCTTTTTATTTAGCTTATACAGTGATAGCTGGATGCTTTTGTCGCGCCACCACGTGCATGTTTTACTGATAAGAGCAAAAAGAACTTAAAATGCTCGTTCATTTTTGTTTGTACACATAAGAGTAATACACCATTCGAATCTGTAAAGGGTCTACTTTTATTTGTGTACACTCACAATATCAACAAAACATTGTGCTTTTGCAATAGATTTATTCACACCGCCCTTGAAAACTCTTTGTGAAAACACTTGTCCGAAACTGTCACGATGTCACACACACGAGGGACGAGGAGACGCTGGAGAATGCTTTTAACAGGACTTTATTGGAACCAAGGGAGACGAACACAGGAAGACCTTCACCAGAAGACGTACAACAGCGGACCGAGAAGTAGGGACTGGGAACACTATTTATAACGAACACAGGAAGACCTTCACCAGAAGACGTACAACAGCGGACCGAGAAGTAGGGACTGGGAACACTTTAAATACACACAGGAGGAGGGGATCACGAGACACACCTGGGAGCAATGACACATCATGGGGAACACCTGGGACAAATGAACTAAACTAATCAGGGGAGGAACAGGAAACTAATCAAATAAGGGCATGGGAAGGCACATGGGGAGCAGGACACACACAACACATGGAACAGAGTCTGACAGAAACATGTTAAGAGGGATGAATTTACGTGTTATTCTACACCCGTGGTTACTTTATATTACACAACCAGATTCTGACTGGTCAATCGCAGAATTCTGGGATCAAATAATGTTGTACAATGATCAGTTGAAGCAGAGATTTAAATATATGTGTCATAACTAAGACATTTTTTAAATGCTTTCAAATGTTTAAATTAAACATATAGGCCTAGTATGTAGAAATTTATAAAGTTGCAAAATATTTTAATCTCAAATTAATGCTAACTGTAACTTTCGATTAATCAAAGAATCCTGCAAAAACTGCATTGTGGTTTCTAAAAAAAATATTAAGCAGCACAGCTCCTTTCAACATTGATAATAATAAAAAAAATGTTTCTTAAGCACCAAATCGTCATAAGAACAATTTCTGAAGGATTATGTGACATTGAAGACTGGAGTAATGATTGCTGAAAATTCAGCTTTGCCAACGTGAATTATATTTTAAAATATATTAAAATAAAAAAAAACAGTTATTTTAGATTGGAATAATTTTTCATAATATTGCTGTTTTGAAGTCTAAAACCAGTTAATACTGCAAATGTTTTTACTGCAAATAAATGCAGCCTTGTTGAGTATAAGGAACTTTTAAAAAATAGTTTAAAACATTGAAATAAAAAAAAAACATTAAAAACATTAAATTACATTTATATTTCGTAAATAATTTAAAATATAATTTACTTTTTTTTTAAATATTAAAGGGGTCATATGATGCGATTTCAATTTTTCCTTTCTCTTTGGAGTGTTACAAGCTCTTGGTGCATAACATAATTCAAATGATCATTTAAAAAATAGTGTAAAAACCTTTTAAATTAGATCTGTATTTTTTGCTTTTTGCAATTAACATTCTGAATCTACAACACTGGCTGGTTGGCTGAAAAAAATATATATAAAAAAATCACCATTTCAAGCCAATTTTAGAGCACATACATAAAACAAATAAATTTGGAGAAATATATCAGACATCATTATTAAAAGACTGCAAAATATTGAGATAGATTTTTCTTAGCTGTATCTCCTAGCGCTAACCCCTCCCTCAAGATTTGAGACAGAGCAGAGGGTAAATCAGGTCAGCCTCTTCAGTCCATCTCTCTTGAGAGATGATTCACACTGGGCTTGAGCTGAAGGCAGTGCCGGCAAGAGCTGCAGGCATTTCCCCAAATCTTCAAATACTGGTGGGGAAGCATCCGACTGAGGCTGTGAAATGTTCATTTAATGTCAGTCAGGGTTGTTTGGGGCTTACTGGGAGTCATACAAAAATTAAATAACAGACTTGGTCGCTGCTAAGGAACAGGGGTTATGCATTTTACAGCCATCTGAAGGTTCTTTCTTTGCAGCTGAAACTCCTGACAGTTAGATGACCTTCTTCATGCGCCATTGCCAAAAATGTACACTGAATTCAGTCAAACTGAATAAACACATTCAATTAAAAAACCCACTGTAAAGAAATACACATAGCAGGCACATCTGAATCTGTCAAAATCTTCAAGCTGGGGTCACAGAGCAGAAATAACACCTTGCCAGTGAAGACGTTGTTCTGTCAGAGACTGTGGCCACCTGCATATAGATGTGACAGCCTGACATGCATGCCTCACTGACTTGGAGAGCCCTCTTCGCTGTCACCATAGCAAGAGAGAGCGAGAGAGGTAAAGAGTGAAAGGGAGAGAGAGAAAGAAGTGTTTTTAACTGCTTTCATGTTTCTTGTGAGCCAAGAGTCCTGCTCTCCTATGGGAAGCTCTCCTCAGTTGGAGAAATCTCCCTCATCATGTATTCATCATATCACACACACTCCCTTACACACATCACACACACATACACAAATCTACAAACGCACAAATACACTAGATCTTCCTCTGTGCTGTGTTCCATGTGTTTTTGATGTATTTCTCAATAAAACAGGTGGATTATGTCAATATGGGCATGTGAACCAGCTATTTTTTTTTTCTCGCAGGCCCTTCTTTATGAAAGCATATTAATGGCTCTGTTCTAAAAAGTAAGAAGCTGCCTTGTGGTTAGGCAGCACCCTGATTTGGAACATTATTAGTGACAGATTTGGAACACTCTCTCAGTGTGTTATACAAATAACACTCCTCACACAAGCACACAGGAAATGTGACTCAACTTATTTCAGTATTCTAAAATATTTAAATTTTAATCTGAACATACTATTTGGAGTTGGTAATATTTTTGATGTTTTTGAAAGAAGACTCTTATGCCTACCAAGGCTGCATTTATTTGATCAACAATACAGTAAAATCGGCATTATTACAATTTAAAATAACTATTTTCTATTTTAATATAATTTGCACTTTACACCTACGATGGCAAAGCTGAATTTTCAGCAGCCATTACTCCAGGCTTCAGTGTCACAAGATCCTCCAGAAATCATTCTAATGTGCTGGTTTGGTGATCAAGAAGCATTTATTATCATCATAAACAATTGTGCTGCTCAATATTTTTGTGGAAACTGTACATACATTGCATTTTTTCTTTGATAAAGAAAGTTCAAAAGAACAGAATTTATTCAAAATACTTTTTTATAACATGAAATGCCTTTACTGTCTCTTTTGATCAATTTAACATGTTCTTGCTGAATAAAAGTAGTCATTTATTAAAAAGAAAAAAAAAGACATGATGTATCCAAGATTAGTTGTGGCGCAAATTTGTAGCAACAAGAGTTTAAAAAAAGGTACATATCACTTCCTGATTATATTAATAAATAAATAATTTAAAAATACTATAAATGTGATGTAGCTATTCACAATGGGTAAACAGCACCTATTTAAATAGATCATGTGCCTGCCAGAGGAAGATGGGCTCCCCTTGCTGAGTACTGGTTCCTCTAAAGGTTTCTTCAATGTTTTTTTTTTTTTACTTGCTTACTTTGTAAGTGTTTGTAAGTCGCTATTAATTTTTCAAAGATGCTTTAAAAGAATATGTATTATGGTATTATGATATTATTATGCAAAATCCCAATCCAAATAAAACTAACTTGACTTACCGGTGATCTCTCGAACGGTGCGGAACACGTTGAGTTTCTCTGGATCCAGAGGCTCTATGTTGTGGTATATATCCCTGTAACACACATGGAGATTGATGCAAATACACATTATACTCGGTATATACTGACAGGCACATCTTTACAGTCAAGAAAATCTGTCATTTTGCTAACAGATGAAGCTGATTGTGAAACAAGCTCTTAAACATAACTGTATGAAGCCAATTTTTATTAGAGTGCAGACTATCAACACAAATGCACTCTGACCGGTGCCTGCTGACTCCATCCATCCCAGTATGCTGAATTTTCTACATATTTTCCAAGTCACCATGCCTTATGCTATTCTGTTGCACAGTACAGCGGGTTTTAATAGCACCATTGAGCCGGAGATCTTCAGGGAGGTCCAGAACACCTGCTGATGCAGCGTGTGTGAGAGTGTGTGTGTGGGGAATACGTGTAAGAAATATGTGCACTCCATATCACAGTTTGTGGTGGAGATGATGTCATCTGTATGCCTATCAAGATGTGCGTGTGTGTGCACATGGCTTTTCCCAGCATACTGCTGGCCCTGGATTGCTCTTTAAGATCAGAGTCAGCTATATGGGGTTAGAGGATCAGCCAATCAGACACAGCGGGATCAAAAAAAGGCCACTGGAGGGAGCGGGTCAACCAGAGGTCAAATGACTTCTTGACAATCTGACAATCAAATATTACACAGCACTTATATAAAGAGGGGGCAGCACATTTCTCATATAAAATCACATTAACTGCGGCCGTCTTGAGAGTCAGTAGAAGGTCTCATAGGTCTTGCTTGACTGTCTAAACTAGCACAATGGCACTTTTAATGTGCGCTATTAAACTGGGCAGTGTAGTTTTCTTTTACACAGCCATGATGTGAAGGGCTTCCCTATTGCTTTTCTTCTACATGAATCCCCTCCTGCATCATTAAAGCTGATGTTATCTGATAAAAAGAAGCAACATAGGTCAAATGGCTTCCGACAACCCAATATCCGATATTCAGCTTTAAAGCAGAGTGTAATGGCTGTGAAGTGAGCCAATGGATGGTGTGAAGGAGCCACTCTCACCCTTTAATGCCTGTGATGAGGAACACCAGATTTCCGTTGATCTTGGTGCAGTTGATGAATCTGTCGATGTTGCTGGAGTCTACAGTTTGAGCCGTCTGAAGGCTTGCAGTGCCGATCCCATCGCATGCTGTAACATAAACCAGAAAACTGTGTTAAACAGAAAACTTTGAGAGAAAGAACAGTGGTATTGGTACTGACAACATATATATGCCTAATATATGGCATTTTGGTAACCTCTGATGATGTGTGTGATCACCTTTTGGGCAGATATCAGTGCAGGGGATACACATCTTGATCCTATTCTCCTCCACCTCCATCTTGTTGCTGGGACAGGCTCTGACACAAGAGCTGTGGTCCACCACAAAGTTATCTGTTATACCACACACAGAGGCAGAACAAACGGTCAGATGGCGGCATGCTCTACCTCTAAGCAATCTCTGTGAAAAAGGCCATTGACATTTTGAAATGGTAGAGAACAAACATCCATTCTCAGACAAAAACCATTAACACATCTGCACGGATGCAGTGGGGACCGTGACTGTGGCGTGTGTGCGTGATGGAAAGACCTATTTCCGGCGGTGATTGTGCAGCGTGGTATCCATTACAAGAGAAAAGAGAGAGGATCATGGAGGGACAGATAAAGGAAGATGGACGTCTCTCTTCACCTCTTACGTGTAACGTGAATCTCAGACTCTTACTGTAAAGAACTACATGGCACTAGATTTAACATGTGACACTAGGAGAACAAATTACCCTGGGTAAAAACACAAACCTCACCTTCACAACCCTGACAGCCAAGAGAAACACAACCAAACTGAGCATTTCACTGTCGCCCCATTGAATAAACTGGTCTTGCGTGACTGCGGAGGGCGGTTCGGGTTTTGGGGCGGGTCTCTGAGTATTGCACAATAACATTCATCGTGGACTGAGTACTGGAGTGGGCGTCTGTCCGTGTGCAAACTCTTCATTCTGCAGCAGTGGCGGCCCAGCAAGGGGGAATAATGACACTCGTCCTCACCTATCATCACTGTTATCACAGCTCTCTTTCATTCTTTCACTGTTACTCTTTCACCGTTTCACCGTTCTCTTCTTTTCAAAGAAGTCAGGTCAGTTCACAAGAAACTTTCATTGTTTCAATGAAAAATACAATAGGGGGTATGACAGATTCCTATCTCCATAATTACCCCATCAAGTCTATTCTCATTGGACAGAGAAACAGAGAAGGAACCGGAACCCTCTGTTTAGAAATGTGTTGCATTGTATGTATAGTACTATATTTACATACCTTGTCATGGTGCTGACATTGCAAAGCAATTAAAACAAACATTAAATATGCACATGACATTTATTTTTATTTGATACATTTTAACGTGGAATGGACAATAAATTATTTCGCTGTGGTTGAAGTTAACCGTTATGTTCTGTTTGGGGTCTCAGGCAGGATTCCTGCACTTCTTGACAAATGAATTTCCATGACTTTTCTAGATGGTCATGATATTTATAGAGTTGGCATTCAAAAAGAGCAATTTCTAGCCTTCTAGCCAATTAAATATTTTAGGATCTTGTTTATTTGCATAACCTGGAAATTACATGTTCAAATTCCCTGATATTACCAGGTTTTCTATGACTGTGGGAATTCTGTTCAGACTGTTTCAGACAGTTTAATAGCTCAGACAATTTAATAGCTAAAAAAAAAAACATACCGATCACTGAAGTATCATGTTCAGGACGCTTCTGATTAAAAACAATATTTCATAACATGCTTACATTTCATAAGGTCGGTTTGGGAACAGTAATATTATATAATGTTTTTGAAATAAGTTTCTTATGCTCACCAAGGCTTCATTTATTTGATCATAATACAGTAACAACAGAAATATTGTGAAATATGAAATAAAATAAAATAACTGTTTTCTATTTTAATATATTTTTAATGTAATTTTTTCATGTCATTTCTCCAGCCTTCAGTGTCACATGATCCTTCAAAAATCATTCTAATATGATGATTTGATAATCAAGAAACATTTATTTTGAAAACAGTTTTGCTGCTTAATATTTCTGTGAAAACTGTGATCCATCCATTGTTGAGGACGAGAGAAAACATTTTATCCCAGTCACTCTTCTGTAAATCACATGACTGGGGGAAAAAAAGGAACTCATCATCTTATAATATCTCTCTATTGGTGGACCCCCTGTTGTTCTGCCACAGAAGACCCCTGGCATACACATTTCTTTCTTTCTTTCTTTCTTTTTCCTCCCTCCCTCCCTCCCTCAAGCCAATGGGGAAACCAGAGGTCAAGAAGCTGAGTGAGATTTAGCAGACAGGCTTACTCCTGGGGCTCTGCATGGGTACCGCACCACATCAGGGGCTCAGAGGAGAGCAAGGGCTCAGGTGCAGCCGATCCACCTCATTTACATTCAATCTGAAACTTTTTTACATTCCCGAATGTGAACGCGCTTCAACATGGCACCTGATATCCATTTATGTGAGTGAAAGATCCAGCTAGAAGCGTGTGCATAAGCATACACATGTTTGTATTAGTTTTCACTGTCTGTCTTACGTGGGCACTTTTTGACGCAGAACGCTCCATATGTGTATTTGGCCCGTGGGTTGTGCTCCAGCTGGAACGTGGTGGGGTTGTAGACGAAGGGCTGAGGGCATTGCGTCACACATGCGCCGCTGTCGTTGAAATTAGTGCAGGCCTGGACACAAAGAAACAAGGTTACTGACAGCAATACACATTTATTTAATAAAACAGCTGACAAAAATTTGTGTTGCTACTTGTACAGTCTCATTTTAGGATTATATGCAATAGAAGAATGTGCCGGAACACAAAATTGCTCCACTAATCAGCTTCGACCCACAAAAAAGTATGTCAACCAACACCAATACAGCATATTAGCAATATAAAGTAGCAATGCTACAAATAAATAATGATTCGAACAGGCTTATGGAATAGAAAAAGCTCTTCGCTTTATCAATCTGACTTCAGGAACACGAAATAACTGTTTTCTGCCTTAGAGTTGCTGAGATGTAAAAAAAATAAAAATAAATAAAGGCATTGATCCAAATCCCAATGCATGCCACAAAAGTGCATTTTCAATTAAAAGGGAACAATCGCGAAGTACAATATCAATGATTACAGCTGAGGATAACTAATTAAAAAACCGAAGAGGTGCGATAAATCGCTTTCTCCGAGGGCTGGAGGAACGAGGAGCAGTCAGAGACGGTCGGGATCTGCCCAGGCAGCATGTAACAAAAGAGCTACAGAGGTGTGGCCCCTACTCTTATTCACAGCAAGGCATTGTGGGAGGAAATTAGATTTTAATGGTATCTCCCGTGCAAAGAACATTTCCTATAGGGAGATTTTTGATCAAAAGCGAGTCATCTGTAGGCAACATGGATCTCTTTTGGAGAAGTGAATATCACAGCAGAACAAAAACTCAAAGATAAGGTTGGGGAGCTGGAAAGGGTCTGCCGCTGTTACTGAAACACTTCTACAATTGCAGGTTTATGGGATGGCTGATAAAGCCGCAGATGACTGACAGACTGTGTGTGTGTGTATGTGTGTGTGTGTTTGGGGAAAAAAGTTATTACATACTGAGACATCTGTAAGAGGGTTGTGTGCAAGTGGGTTGGCTCTGGATGTAAAATCTGAAGTTAGGGCTTGTACAACTACTTGACTAGTAGCCCAGACAAGATGCTGACTATTTGTTGATTTAATGTTTGAGCATGACGACTTCCGTTTCACTGCACTTTCACATTTGCATAATTTTACATACAGTGGGGTTCAAAGAGCCCTCATTGAAAATCTGGGATTCAAAATCTAATATTCTAATAATATCAAATGTTCTTGCTTCCTTTGAAGCTCGAGATACTCTTTGGATCATCTCATTGGATCATCTCAAATCATGCTTGAGAACATGATAACCAGGTTTGACACAAATTTGTGAAGTTCACGCAGCTCAAGTGCTGCTGACATTAAAGCTAACAAAATACTGAGACATTCTGAAATTAATGTAAATTTTTCAGGTCAACTCTCGCTTTTCACAAATGGTGATGCTGATCATGTAACTTGCGATGAAAAAAAAAATCCTGACATTCTGAAATTCATGTTAATTTTTCAATTTAACTTGGTAACACTTTTCAAAAAGGTCCCATTATTTAACATTAGTCAATGCATTAATTAACAATGAACAATACATTGTCACAGTATTTATTACTCTTTGTTAACCTTAGTTAATAAAAATACAACTGTTCATTGTTAGTTCATGTAGGTTCAAGTCCATTAAATAATATGAACAAATGCATTCTTTTATTTTAATAATGTATTAGTAAATGTTGAAGTTAACATTTACTAAGATCAATAAATGCTTTAGAATTATTTTTCTTTGTTAACTAATGTAGTTAACAAATGGAAGCTAATTATAAAGTGTTAACTTTTCACTCAAATTATGATGCTGATCAAATAAATTGTAATGAAAAAACTGTATTAAAATAGAACCATGCAAAATTGCTAGTGGACTTTATATTTGGCAATGACAGGCAAATACACAAAGACACAGTTTGTGGACAGAGGGATTTTTGACCTGCTGTCACCATATAGCACAAACTGAAGTCATGTGATTCGTGACTAGTCAACACAGGACGAAAAGATCAACTAGTGGTAGAGCTTATCGACTAGACACTGCAGTCCCTAATATGACTGAGTGCATGAGTTTGTTACAGGAATACTGAAGACATACAAAGCAGTCTGTGTCCTTTGGTCCCGAACAGCCTCCAGCACACTCACGATGACAGCAGTCACTGACGTACGGCCCAAAACAGCGGCCATCACATTGCTCGGCACACACTGTCTTAGTCACTGAGAAAGAACCAGAGATAAGGGAAAGTGTTAGAGAAATATGCATTTTCTGATGACAATTAGCATTTGTTTGATGATTTCTTTAACCATTACGCCTCATTGTACTACACAGCTGTCTGGATGCCAGTAAGAGTCATACTGTGAGTAAACAGAGCTCTAACCAGGGAGAACATGTGGGGATGTGTGGTCTCTTAACTGCAGAGTGATGGTGATCACAGAGCTGCACTGCTTTCCTATTTCTGCTAGTGATCCTCACCATAATGAATATAGACATTCACAGTAATTCCTACCATATGGCATGCAGAATACATCTCCAGTGTAGCTGCTGAATGAGCTTGGGGAGCTTTCTGAAATAAGGCCAGAAATATCCTTTACAAACTGTAAGGATGCAAACGCAGACACGAAAGCTTGGCTGACATACTGTAACTCTTCTTACATTGCCAGGATGGGAACAAACCTCATGAGCACAATAGAATTGCCATCAAAATGGAGGATATATTACTTAGGCACACTACAATACAAAAGTTTGGGCTTGGTAAAATTAAAAAAAAAATTTTTTTTGAAAGAAGTCTCTTGCATTCACCAAGTCTGCATTTATTTGATACAATAAAAGAGTAATGTAATGAAATATTATTAAAATAACCATTTTCTATTGTAATATATTTTAAAATGTAGGTTATTCCTGTGATGGCAAAGCTGAATTTACAGCAGATCATTCAGAAAACATTCTAATATGCTGATTTGTTGATCAAGCACTATTTATTATTATTATTATCAATGTTTAAAACAGTTGTACTGCTTAATACTTCGGTGGAAATTGAGATACATTTTAGAAGACAGTTTACACTAATGGCCACTGTAGTGGTTACATTATGAATTGTGGTTTTGGAACACAACAATGTAAAATATCACATTTGCATAGCTTTTTCTTACTCAAACCCTACAAAGGCTGTCATTTTCATTTATCTATCAGTCCTTGCATGAACGTGAGTGTGTGTGTTACTAGCACGGTGGTTGTAAAATGCTGTAATTGGATTTACACAGAAGCATTTGTATGTGCATGCTTGTTCGGGCTGACTGCACGCTACACAGCCTCTTACAAATGCGTGTTAATTCTTTATCAAGAGTTCGTAAGACAGGATTCAGATGTACATGGATCTGGGTATGGTTACAAAATTTCAAGTTGTGACAGCAGTTCCCTACTGGGTAACATGCTATACTTCATCTAAAGCTACTTAAAACATTTTCTAATTTTAGTATATTTATTATACATCCAACTTTTATGATCTCATGCTAAATTAATATTTATATTTTTATTATATATTTTATTATATATTATATATGAATATTAAATATTCATGCAAGACACACTGATTACTGAAACATACTATAACTTTCAGAACTTGTGACAGCAGTTCCCTGCTGGGTAATATGCTATACTTCATCTAAAGCTACTTAAAACATTTTCTAATTTTAGTATATTTATTATACATCCAACTTTTATGATCTCATGCTAAATTAATATTTATATTTTTATTATATATTTTATTATATATTATATATGAATATTAAATATTCATGCAAGACACACTGATTACTGAAACATACTATAACTTTCAGAACTTGCTTCACAGTCGAAAGAGAGAATTTATTTAAACTAAGATGTGCGAAAGAGAAAACTTCTGCAAATTTACATCAATAAATTATCACATGGTCATCTGTGTTTACACATCAGTGATGCCTACTGGGTCATCAGAAACACAGCCCATCCAGTTTTGTTTTGTTTTCAATGGTGAATGTCAGACAGATACAACTTGTTTATTTGTTAATGATCAGAGAGCAAGATAAATGGCCATTAAAAGCTAAAAAATTGTTATAATAAAAATGTTTGATATGACCCTTTTAAGAGAACTGTAACAAAATCTAATTGGGATGGTGAGAAACTCTCTTTTTATACACACTTTCCCTTATACAATTTTATAACATTTAAAATAAAATGTTGATAGAAAAAGGTAATCTACTTATTTGCATACACGAGTGTCCCTCGCTATCGCAGCCTCACTGTAAGACCTGAATAATATAGCTAATGACTGTATTTCTATGTAAAGGTACATATTCAATACACTATGAGAGGCATGTGTATAAAAGTTATTATATGAACAGATTCAATGGATGTGAACTGGCCTTCCTCTGAAATACCACTTTACCATTGCCATTATGGTAGTGCAAGCCATTACCACATAGACACCAAATGGCCTATTTTACGAAAACAAAAGACATCGCACTAAACTAAAGGCCCACTCAGAAAAGTGATGATTTTGATTCATTTGCCATAAACACGCTTTTAAAAATACATGCGGCACTGGCAATTATACACCATCAATCTGATAAAGTACACAGAAGACTATAAAGCACAAAATATTTAGCCTCTGAGAGTTTCATTAGGAGCTCAAATGCCGTGTTTTATTGCGCAGACACATTTTAGGTCAAGAAGCAGTGCTCTTGTTTAGATGTAATCCCAGTTTAGCAATGCACAAATTGATTCCAAATCTAATTATGCTTTTAAAAAATCATTATTTGAATACACTAGTTTGAAATATTTACTCAGTATCCACTGGGTTGAGAAGAAATACAGATTTAAGTTTGCAAAAATTACAGAAAAGCTACAGCAAAAATCCAGCAAGAATGTTTAATGCACTCAACTTACTAAATAGCTTCATTAGTGTGAGATGGAACTCAAATCCATTTCACAGTCGCGCAGTTCTCCAATTACTTCATCCTTATCGTTTCGACAATTAAGACTACTCAAGCTAGGTGGCTGGTGGCGAGGCGAGCTGCGGATTTAACCACCGTGATGAGAAGAAAGGTGAGGACGGCGAGACGAGGGGAGAAGAGAGAGAACATACTTATCTGGTGCAGTGCGGTGACATGTAGTGTCTTTGTGGAGGCAGTGCAAAGGTTTGCTTACGACTATCTAAATGAGATCAAAATATACTACACAGAAAAAGAAAGAGAGAACAGGCTCTGCTCCAAAACCTTTGGAGCACTTCACAGAAAAAATAAAAATTATATTATTTACTTGTTGCTCCAAACCAATATGTTGTTATGAGTGTTATGGAAAACAACATAGGAGAATAGTTACACAGATTTTACCATACAAGAACAGTTTAGATGAATTTGGAACTATATGAGAATGAGTAAATAATGATGCCTCTGTATCATAGGTGCAATTCCAAAAAAGGTAAGCAGCATGATTATCTCTCTTATGGTGCAAGACAAGCATTTGTGGTTAAAAGTATATGCATTTAAATTTTTTTATTTAGCAAATGACCGTTCGTTTCACTAGACAAGACCCTTATTCCTTGGCTGGGATCGTGTAGAGCCCTTTGAAGCTGCATTGAAACTGCAATTTGGACCTTCAACCCGTTGATCCACATCGAAGTCCACTATATGGAGAAAAATCCTGGAATGTTTTCATCAAAAAACCTTAATTTCTATTCAACTGAAAAAAGACATACATGAACATCTTGGATGACATGGGAGTAAATTGTCAGGAAATTTTTATTATGGAAGTGAATTAAAGGCAGGGTATGTGATTTTTCAAAAACACTTTAGAAAACTGATTCAGGCCGAATAGCAAAACAAACTTGTAGCCAATCAGCAATAAGGGGCGTGTCTACTCGTGATGTGGAGGAGAGAGCTTTCAGTGCATGGGACGGACATTAGCCGAGCCGAGCGACAGAAAGATAGAGATGGCGGATAAAAAACAAAAGAGGAAAACGTCTGCGGAACGATAAGGCAAGAAGTAGGACCCGTGTAAATATCGGATCAGCTTTCCAGCGCTGGAGAGAACTTAAGGAGCGGAGGCCTGCGATCGGACGTCGAGGTTGCTTTGTTTCTTCTCAATAGGTGAGTAACACCGTGTCTACAACAGCTAAAGTCTGCCTACACTGGACGCGATCAAACGACTGTTGAAAACCATTTGAAATTTGTGTCAGCATGTCATAAATAGAACCCGGCAGCAGTTTTCTGTCGGGGATTTGTTGCGCCGCGCCGCTCACGTCCGTAGACACGGTGTAACATTGGTTTTGCTTTGTTTCACAGAACTAATCGTTGCCTGGGTTGCGTACGTATATGTGGGGCGGAGCTATCAAAATAGGGGCAAGACCCTTTTGGGGTAGGGGCGTGTTTGTTTTGGTGATTTCAAATATCAACATTGGCTACCAGAAATCACTTACTCTGCCTTTAAACCTTTAATTTCTTTAAAAAAAATTACTGACTCCAAACTTTTGAACAGTACTAAATTAAATTTAATGAAGAGTACAGCAGTTCACTGTAATTAGAAATGGAGTGTTCTACTCAATATTGTGTGCTGTGAACCTTCACTACTTCACTACTGTAAGGAGCTTCACAAAGTTAACTTAGCAACAAGCTAATGCAAAACTCTATTGAAATCAGCTGAGAGCAGAGCCTCCAGTGAGTTTTGCTATTTGTACAACGCAGAGTTTGGAGTTGCTGTTCCAAATCGTTACTTATGTGGTTCCATTTTAGCTAGTGTGCTTGCTAGATTTAGAACACAGCCACAGAGACAGAAGCGCCTGTTCAAATAAATGATTTCTCCATATAAATAACAGATGTTCTCTCATAGGTCTTGAAGATGGAACGAAAACAAAACTGAGAGAGAAGAATGAGAGTGTGTTGGTACCCAGATGGAGGGACAGAGTGAAATGACAGGTACAGTACATCTGCAGAAGAGAGAGGAAAGAGGAAGGACATTATGATTAATTAGGGAGTATTTGAGAAGGGAAAAGGCTCATATTCTCCTACTTGACCCGCCAAACCATTTTACTATATGGAGAAGTCTATAAAAATGATTGTCCATTACATGAATAAATGGTGATATCACCAGGGCAGTACAAATTTCAGGTACATGATAGTTTTCCTGCCATTCCATAATGTGAAATGCTCTGCACTGCTCATCTGTGTGATGATACCATCGTGAATAAAGATATATGGTCTCATAGAAATACTATTAGCAGGTCTAGACAGAATTGCCAGACTCTCTGCACTTTTTTATGGGAAAATACAAACATGAAAAATAAAAGCTTACACTAAAATAAAAGCAAATATGTTATAAAAAAATCAGCTGTTTTTAATTAAATTTTTCCTTGTCAATTACTTTATATGGATCAACACCGTCAGATACACAATTTATTTATTATAAACATTGACAAATTCACCACTAAATTCAATGAAACACTGATTGGAGACCACATGATGATTTCAGAATGATTTTAGCTCCACATGAATTGCATATGAATATGCAAGAAGCAGGCAATGTTTATAACTTTCTAAATGAAAGGTGTTTAAATTCTGTGGAAAAGTTACGTTTCTGCAGAAATGATCTGGCGCAGAATCTGTGAGGGCCTGCCTATGCTTTCCATCTCTTCCAGCTCATGTTAATGACACAAGACGACTGTAATGCAAACTAACTGCCATGAGAGTTTTTTTTTCAACATGAACATTTCAAAAATGGTTTCTTCTTTCAACAGAAATAAATCCAGTACAAGCTGAGTGTTTTGTCCTTAAAAAGAGATCCTTACGGGTACGTTAGAGAGCTTTTCGAGGCAGGGGTAATGACATGTTTTTGAGCAGTCTTAGCATTTGACTGCATTATAAGAGCATGCCGGGGGAAATCAGAGTTATGGCGCGTTGTGATCAAGCTTGTTGAGAGGAAGCCTAAAAAGAGAGAGACCGAGGATAGGGCTACGTGTGAGAGTTTTGAGGGACCTGAAGTAAATAATGTTGGCAGTTTTAAGTGCAGCTGGTTTCTGCGGCTACATGTGAGAGGAGAAAAAGAGTCATGCTGCCCGTCTCTCTCTTCAATTATCCTCCACTGGGAGGGCAGCGGCGTGCCACGGCCTGCTGGAGGTGCTGTACTGAGCCTGTGGAGAAAGCTGGAGAACTCTCACAGAGTGGAACGACTCTTCACCTCACTCTGGCGGCTGTATCTGCAGTGTCTAGATATTATATTCATGAGTAAAAGTTACTTCTGAGAGGTTTTTTCTCCATCCTGGTTGATAAGGTATGCTATGAAAAGGAATTATGAAATTAAAAAAATTAATAACCCACAATAGGCTGTTTGTTACAGTGATTTTACCACACACAGGGGTATTCGAGAGCCTCAACATGGAGTGCCTAAACCCCCCCTGAACTGAGGTAAAATCACAGTAATATAATATAATATAATATAATATAATATAATATAATTTAATGACATGAGCATTTAAATTTTGTTAAATATTTTCAATAAATGTGAATTATTTTATAAACAACAATGGAAATCTGTTTCCATCAAATAAGTAACCATTTAAAAGCAACAAGTATTGCTACAGCAACTTATTTGGCTGATTTGGTGGATAAAATTAATTCATTAAACTAATTATTAAATTATTAATTAATTATTGCATTATTTGGTGGATACAGTACTATAAAGAAGACTGGAAAAATAGGAAATGGGACTGGGAAATGACATAAGCCAGATTTGAACTATTATTGCCCACATAAACACTAGAGCTCAAAATTTTGCTCAAATGGTAAAATCACTC